AAAAGCCTTAACAAAGGCTTCATAAAGTAGGGTGAGTTTTTTATCAGATTTCCTTTCACCTTGCTCACTTCCTTCATAATGAGCTGAATACTGGAGTCCTCCTGATATCAGAATTCCCATGGACTTAAGGTTATATGTAAAGTCCTTCTAATGCCCTTAACATTGAGAAAATATGAAGTGCCTTTTGCTGACCTGTATGGCCTAAGGCAGGCTGAGCTGAGGTATTGCTGCCCTGGATCTGAGTGCCACAGATTCTTTAAGAAGCAGCAGGTTAGGTTTGAGCAAGTACAACTTCATCAGCTGCTACAGCTCTGCACCTCCGTTTTAAAGACTTCAGGAAATGTATTGGTTATCAATCTCAGAAATGAAATCTGGGGGCAACAAATGGCAATTTCTGGAAAATGAGGGAAAATATCAGTGAACCAAATTCTATGTTTCTAACTTTGTTGTTCTCTATATGGCCTTACACCTGGGTTTTTGGATGTTTTGTTCTTGCTAAATTTTGTTCTGTGTATCTTCAGCTTTGTGGGATTCTTTCAGTAGCATTAGACAAGGAAAGCACATCAGTTTTTTTTTTTAATGACTATTAGTGAGTTAGGATGATATTTAAGACAAGCACACCTTGGTCTCTTCAGTGAATAAAATGGGGACCTGTCCATGTCTGCTCTGATTAGAAGGAGCACCTTGGGCTCTCCCAGGTTCTGTGGCTTGCGAGGAGTTTGCAGGCTGTCCCCATTCCCAGGAGTTGGGAGCATCTAGAGAATGCTTGGACATACAGGAAGGAGTTTGGAAGCTCCAACCTGCCTCTAAGTATGGTCTTTGTCAGTGTACAGATGAGGCCTGTCAGAACAAAGTTTCAAATAATTGCATTGCTTTATGTTTCAGCTGTGCTGTGAAACGAGGACAGTATTATGTTGTTTATAAATGTTGTCATCAAGCTAGTGACATTTAAAAAAGCAATTAGCATGGAAAGTGGAATTGTAATTGTTGCACCTTTCTTGAACAGAAGTTCAAGTTTTAGCCAGTTATAAGTTCTGTAAAAATTAAAATAGTGACAGTGAAGAGCATGTCTTGGAGTTAACCTCCAATATCAAAGCTAGCCTCTGCCTCAGCCCATGAAAGGTTTGATCATCATAAAACGACCAGTTATTAATATGTCTAGTGAATAATCCTCAAAAAAAAAAAAAAAAAAAAAAGACTATCCTCTGAAGTAAATTGCAAGGATTTTTTTTACTTCTAGTTATGATGGAGCTTACATAACTTTAGGTGTACAGCATGCAATTATAACGCCCTTTTCTCTTCACGCATTTTATGATTAGAGGTGAAAATTATCATTAACAGGGTTTCTGAGAAGCAGCATCTCATTTGCTCTCTGACCCACTGGTATTCCTACATTTGACAAATGTCTGAAGCTAAAAATGAGCACGTGCAGAGGTCATCCCTTTATCTGTTAAAATGTTAACGTCTCAGGCCATTAGGGATTGTTTCTAAATGATAACAAATCGCTCCTGTAAAATGGAAGTAACTCACAAGCTTGTTGATTTATTTAATAGCACATTGCCTCTGATCTATGATTGATGCAAATGGCTTCAAGCTCTAACAGTAAGTGGAGTTTAAATGCTGAGATTGATGTTGTTGACTTCCTGTGCTATGTGGTGATTTGTAAGCTTTTATTTCGTAACTATGCCAAAGGGTTGAACTAAAACTCATGAGGAGTCATCATTTGCTGATGGCTTTTTACACAGTTTGTAAACTGTATCTCAAGTGAGGCATTTCCTTACTCTCTTTTCACAGGCTACCTGCTTAACTTTCCTCTTTCCAGATGTCCTGTTCCCTGCCTCTGCTTTAGCAGGCAAAGTGGCTTGTGGTAGATTCTCTCCAGATAAAAATTTATTGTAAGAAACTATAGAGAGTTGTTTAGAAAAGTATTATAAAGCTTGGTTACTCTGATTCCTTGCATTCCTTTCAGTGTTTCACAGTTGTTTAGAGATGATTCTTGCCTATGCAAGGATTTTGAGGTTGGGAGATCCCAGAGCAAGAATGAAATCACCTCAGAGAGCAGCCTCAGCAGGCCTTTTTACTCTTACCTTACTGAGAGGAAATTGTTTCCCTTCTATTTCACACATTGCTGGCAGTGCTAAGCTTGATAGATTCTCATTTCTTTCCGTGGTGTGTGTGGCACAGAGGGTAACTGTTGCGTGTTAACCTTGGTAGGCAGCTGAGTATCAGCCACTCACTCACTCCCTACAGCGGCATGAGAAGACAAACTGGAAAAAGTAAAAGTGAGGGAAATAGCACATTGAGGTGGTTTGAAAAGGGAAACAAACAAAGCCAAGAAAAACAAGTGATGGAAAAAAATGAACCCAGATGCTCAGCATCAGCTGACCAATCCCCATCAGCCTCCATATAATGGCAGCCTCAGCCAACTTCGCCTGTGGTTTTTATTCCTGTATGGTATGAAATACCCTTTTGGCCATTTTGGTTCAGCTCTCCTGGATCTGTCCCCTCTCAGCTCCTTGTGCCTCTCCAGAATCCTTGTAGGTCAGGCTGTGAGAATTACAGAAGGTCTTGGCGGTGCATGAGCACTGTGCTGTGACACCTGAAACATCAGCGTTGTTTTCATCACAAATCCAAAATAAAGTTGTGAGGAAAATTAACTCTGTCGCAGCCAAAATGGGTAAATAACATAATATATGTAGTAGTTAATAACATAAAGCAGAAGGATGGCAGCATTTGTAGAACAAAATGCAGGGTGCAGCCGGACAGTTGAATGGAGTCTGTTTCTAATGTAAATATTTCTCTCTGAATAATGGAGACAGAAATGCAAGAAACAAAGCTGGTGCAGACGTTATCTCCACTGGCTGGGAATGGTGCAGAAGTGTGCCTGAGTGCTTCGGTTAACACCTTATGTTGTGGTTACAGGTGAAATTTGAGATAGTGTAGAGGATACTGCTTAGTTTCAAATCATCTGAGCAGATTGTTTTTCTACTTAGAAGCTTAGGATGGCAAGCCAGAGGTCTTTTAACCTACTTATCCCCACCAGCACTGTATAGAGAATTGCATGTTTTTCTTTATGTAGCCAAATCCTACCTACCTCAGTTTTATTTTGTGTGATAAGAACAGTCTGCAGGACCATGTTCAACTCAGCATTCATTGTCACCCCTAAGTCTTCCTCAGCAGAGCACTACTCAGCCAGTCAGGTCCTATCTTTCCTGACACACTAGTTATTCCACTTCACATATGATAATCTTTTAAAGCTCTGCATTGTGTAAGATCTGTACTCTAGCTATGTTAATTAAGCCAGCAGTTTCCTCCATTATCCATTCCACTTGCTTTTGCAAAGCACCTCTTTCTTGTCTCTGCGCATCAATCTGAGAAGTACTTTAAGCCTTACCACCGAAAAGACTGAATTGCAGAGCCACTGCATGTTTCTTCTGCTTAAAGTCATCAATTAGCCCTGGTAAAGTCATTATTAAAACAATCAGGGGCCACTGAGTGCCTCCTCATAAAATAATTGAAATTTCACTGTTGTCCATTTACTGACATAAAAGTGTTTCCATCTACAGTGGTAACCTAATGTTGCTCTTGCTGGTGTGCGCTGATACAAAGAATTAAGTAAACTGTTGTGGGTTGTTTTTCCTAAATGACAGCTAAATGCCCTTCTCTGGGACTTGTTTGTCATTGTTTATTCCTTTGTTTTTATTATCAATTCTGAACCGCAGCCAGATGGAACTTCACGTTAGAAAATGTGCTATTTAATGTTGGCATATCTTTGAATTTTTTTGATCTTCTGAGTTGAAGTCACTGAATGCTCCTCAGTATGGCCACATGAAAATTTTCTCCGGTTATAGATTTGCTACAGACCTTCTTTGCTTGAACTGCTAATGATGGAACTGCTAATGATGGATTGTTGATGAGAGCACAGATGAATATACAAGAACATTTGCTAACTTGCTCACTCACTGCAGCATGTCTGTATTTCTGTGCGGGCAAAGAGGTGAAGAGAACTGTTATCCAACTGCTTCTATTTACTGTCTCCATATGCTGTCATTAATTAAATCAATACAGGATTACGATACTTCTATCTTTTTAGCTATTTAAAGAAACATTTGATGGCTAATTTATGATCATCAAGTTTGGTGATATTGTAAAACTCTATACTAATTGGGTTATACTATTGATTTTTAAAATTTACAATACTTTGTGGGTAAATCTCCTTGATTCAAGTCTGTGTGAAAAGTAGAAAGTTAGGTAGCAAAAGCCTTGTTCAGGAGAACTTCTTATGGAAAACATATGGCTTCTTCACTTTTCACTGTTCCTCTTCAGCCATAGTGATAGGTTAAAAATAAAAGGAACAAACAAAATATTTACTCCGTTTTTTAATGCTGCATGTGCTGCATCTCAGCTTGATTGCTGCTATTTGTCTGTTATGTTTGTACAAACTAATGGGCAGGAAGGGCCCAGAACAGTGAGGGAATAAGGAGCTGTGGCTCTTTGGCACCTGTTCGCAGCTGTGGAAGTTGTGTGGATGTGGACAAATGAAGTACTTTCATGTCAGAATGAGGAGGAATAGTGCAGTGCTGATGCATTATACTTTTGATCTGCTTCCTTGCAATGATGTAGCTGACTCTCTTGAAAATGCATCGCAACAGTACCATCTGGCCTCTGTTTGTCATTACTTTGTCATACCCTCACCCTGTCTGCCCATCCACTCACTGCCTCATAAAACATGACTGAAATGAATGATCCTTAACCTCATAAAAAAACAATGTGTGACACCTTCTGTTTCATTTGCATTTTATATGCTGTGTGATGGCTTGCTATAAGAATGTATACTGATGAAAGTTGCTTAAATTTTAAAGTATTTTAATATAACTCTTCCATCATAGCAGGATGAGCTGATGATACGGGGAAAATGCAGCCAAAAGAAATTACTGTTACTGTATGTACACACTGCTAAATAACTAACCTCACATTCTTCTCATGCTGTGCTTTTCAAGGGTGAACCAGGCTTCATTGGTCCACAGGGAGAACCCGGGCTGCCAGGGTTACCAGGAACAAAGGTAAGGACAGTTGAACAATGCTCCAATATAAAATCCCTTGGAGCAAGTTCAATTTTGTTAGCAGAGATCGTGCTAATGCTGTAAAAATCTTTTAGCCACAAATGAGTAATTGTCGTAAGTTTAGGTTAAAATATAGCACCTACAGTACCTCGAAACTTGAAGAGTTCTATTTCGTGGACGAATGCAATGAAATACACACCTTTGTAGTGATGCCCTCGAACAATGTAAAGGCAGATACTTTATCCATTCATAATGTAAGTTTATTCACTGACTTTGTTTAATGTCAGCATCCCAAAAGTCACTTCTTCAAGAAGCAAAATATGCCTGCCAGAAGAAACTATGTTCTCATAACTTTTTTAGAAGAAATCTTAAAAGTTTGTGCAGGCATTAGAACTTTGATAATACATACAGACTGTGAAATACAGTGCCATTAAGCATAGGGGCTTTTTTTGTACTACATACGGGTTTTTTTTAGCTGCTCTGTGGTGAAGATAGCATATTATGAGTTCTACAAATAATATTCATTAAGTACCATAGTTCAGGAATCTTCATTCCACTTCTTTCGGAATAGGGAGAAAAATAGCTTTATAGGATCCTATATAAATCCAGAATAGAATTTCTAAATCTTACTTTTTGCAATTGAGAACACTGTGTTCCCCAATCTACAATCCCCACTGCTAGTTGTAGATGAGCTCAGAAATGTTTTCTTCTGATGTTTTGGTTTCTTTGCCATAACTGATTAAGTTGCATGCTAAAAACTGCCCAGTGTTTTGTGATATACGTGTACCTGCTTCCACAGGGTGACAGAGGAGAGGCAGGCCCTCCTGGGAAGGGTGAGCGAGGTGAAACTGGACTTCCAGGACCAAAGGTCGGTCTGATTGCAGTGTTTTGGTTAGGGGAACACCAATAACATATAATGCACCTTTTTCAGCTGAAAAAAAAAAAAAAGAGAGAGAGAGAACTGGGTCATTTTTAAAGTTTGAACTTTCTGATCATTGTAGCTATTGATTGCAGAGAAAATCCATTTTGCATGCTGTTTCTCCAATCCTAATACATCTCTAAGATGCTAAGGCAGATTTTGTACTTAGCAAGCTAGTTTGTATTCCTCTGAATTACTGGGAAAAGTAGTTGTGGTAACACTTTATTTAATCTCCTTATTTAAGGATAGTTAAATGTCTTCTCTACTGTTTGACTAACATTTTTCAAGAGCAGTTCCCATAAAACGGTTTTAATGATGTCTACTCTTTACTAATGCCAATACTAATTTTCCTTTGGAAGGATGAAGTCTGTGGCCTTTGCATGCTGGTGTTAAAGAATATGTTACTCTGGATGCTATTAAATTCAAGGTCTTTACAGACTCATGATCTTGATCATATAAAATTAAGTGATTTTGCTGTTCTGTAGTATAGTTAGTCATTACTAATTTCTTTTCCTCTGCGCTCCCATTCCATTATCATTTTTCTCCTCTCCATCTGCTGTCTTCCCTCAAACAGGGGAGAACAGGTGAACCTGGATCTAGAGGCCCCAAAGGGTCAAAGGTCAGTAGTAAAAAAAAAACAACAACAACAAAAAACCACCTGTCTTTAGTGGAGTGATTAGCACATTTATTTTACAATATGTTGTTTGTAACACTTCTCAGAAACTTCAGATATCCCTTTAAAAGAAACTGTACCAGATAATGCTGTCTTACTTATAAATGAAACATTCTTATTTTCAACTTCAGCTGCTAGAATTGAATCTTGTGTATTTCAATCACTGCAACTCTATTTTCCTTTTTATTATAATATCTGTTTCAATCAGCTCTTTTTTTCCTCATCCCACTTGGTTTCCCTATATGTAACTGATGTGAGTTAGTTCTCTCACATGCCACAAACCATCTCCTGTTTATGCCTGTGGAGTTTCAATTGGTTTTTGCAATTATTTTGTGGAACTCAACTTGGTGGGGTAGGAATCAGTCGTATTTCAAAGACTGCCAAAAGAGAGATGCTGGCCAATAAGTCCTACATAGGCAAGTTTTGTAGATTACATTACTGTTTTACCTACTGTAACCAAAGTGGTTTGATTTTATTTGTTTGGAGTGTTGGCTTTTTTTTCTATGTCAGACCATCCATCCATTTATCTCTATATGGATATAATGGGTTCACATGTATGTAGAGAAAGAAAATACATGCTTTTAAAAATATTTCATATACTTGGCAAATACTGTGCTCACTGGACTCCTCCATGTTATGTTATGTTATGTCATGTCATGTTATGTGTCAAATCAAAATTAAATCAGATTTGTTTAGGTAGTTCTTCGGTCTACTGTCAGAATAAAGGTATCAAGACAATGTTGTAGGCTAGTAGGGTACTGGTTGCAGAACCTGAAAGAAAGGTCCTTAAATAACAGCCGTTCACAGTGCTTAAGGTTATGATTAGGAAATTGCCCCTTCACCTCACTCATTCCTGCCAAAAAGGAAAGTTAGTAAGCAAGGGAGCTGATAGGGGTATTAATGCATCAGAGTAAGAGCAGAAGAGTAAAACAGATTCATTTGCCTCTGGTTCCTGGGCACTTCCCAAATGCACCAGAAAGATAGAGATATCTCTTTTAATTCTCATTTTACCAAAAAGGCCTAACTGTTTCTAAATTCTGGGTCAGAGAAGTCAAACTAGTAACGAAGATTGTTTTCAGCAACTCCAGTGACAGTTTCACTAGATACTGGCAAGGCAATACTGTTGATCATGTCCTGCCACCAGCCTCCTCTCCATGTTCTTCTTTCATTATCCCTATGACTGTTTTCTGTTTTATGGTTCTTTTTTTTCCCTATTACTACTGGTGAATTAACCATTCTTCCCTAACTTGTACCAGTGTTATAGAGATTTCAACAGGAGTAGCAGTTCTTTGCCAAATTCATTTTGAGTAATATAAAAATTGAAGAGCTTGTTATGACTGTGAAGCAAAAAGAATCATAGTCGCTAGGTGTTGAGTTATGAAAGCAAATATGTTTGAAATTCCCTCCATCACTTGAAACACATTATTAACAGCCAGGAGAATAAAGGTGTGTGCAATATGGTTAAGATCTTAAGCCTGTCACAGTGAGGAAGCTGTATAACCAAGATGTTATAATTGCAATATAATCAAAAGAGTAAGGCAAAAGCAAACAAGGATCGCAAAAGAGAATAAGTAGAAGAGCTTACCCTTGGGTTGAGCTCACTAGAAGATACCAAAAGAGGAGGATCTCCAGAAGAGATCCTTCCCCTCTGGTAGCCAGCTCTTAAATAGGTCCAGGAGGGGTGCAGCCTGGCTCCACCCCTTCCGGCAGCACAGGTGAATTGCCTTCACCTGTGCTCCTCTGGCTGACTCAAGGCTCACCTCAGGTGATTAATCAGAGGTTCAGGCCGTGACTCAGCAGTTCCCATACAGGGAGTAAAGGGACTTTAGTGGTGAAAGTACCTTTGTGTCTGCAGGAGAGGTAAGAATGGAGCAAGGAAGTTCAGAAGCTTAGTGGAGTCAGAGTCATGGAAATAAAAGTTTACACACTTTGAAACATACCTTTGAGGAAATTACTGTTTTCAGACTTCAGACTGATTTTATTTCTCTTGGTTTTTCTTAAAGCTTTTAAAATAGTGCCATGAAGAGTAGAGAAGTTGTGTTTGTTACGGAATTGGTAATCTCTTTTGTTGAGTCTTTGGTACAACTTATTCCAACCCAATACAGCACACAATAGCAACTTGTATAGAACCAAATACTTCCTTGTTAACCCTGTCACAATACAGATGTTTAAGGAATTTCTGCTGTAACTAAGATCCACATTCTATTAATAATGAGACACCTATTTGTTTAACTGGGTTATCTAGGAGAAGCATGTTTAAAAGAGACGAACTATCTAATATATTGTCAGATGGCATATTTGTTCTCAAATATCCCTTTTACCTAGGGTGATACAGGCAACAGAGGTGACACGGGATCTGCAGGTCCACAGGTAAGTCTATTTCTCATTTCAATCTTTATACTCTTGCATTCATTCTCTGCAATGAATAGAAATTGTGGCAGCAACTCCAGTTAATGTAATGAGATTGGTCACTTGACCCTGGTGGAAAGCGTGTTACTAATTTGCCTTTAATATGAGTAACAGTCCTTACTGCTATTTGACTTACTACTATTATCCTACTCACAGTTCGTGGGCAGGATGCTACATGCCATGTTCAGATGTTGCCCACAGGCAGCACAAAATTACTGTATTGGAACTGCTTCAGTGTTTAACTGCAGTGGTTTCATTTATTTGCTTTCCCACTGCAGCACAATTCACTTAGTGACTTGCTTGTTTATTGAAAAAAATATTTTAAAAATCCTTTAAATGTAGTCTTTAGTTTAATGCTAAGTTATGTGGGTGTAGTAGTCCATTGGAAATACAACAAAACTTGATTAGGCTGCTTTGGCATTAAAGCATTCATCAATAAATAAGTGTCTAGAGTAGTCTTTGGCAGATGTCTCAAATATTGTTATGGAAAATGTATTATAGGGGCCACCTGGACAGAAGGGTGATCAAGGTGCTACAGAGATAATTGATTATAATGGCAATATTCATGAAGCTCTACAGGTATGTAAACTTAACAAGGCTGAAATAGTTTAGCCTGGTCTGCCAAGAAGCCGTTTGACGTCATTTTCCTTCTGCATAAACCATGAGAACACTTTTTTTCCCCAAAGATTTGCTGAGTTTATTGATTAGGAATGTCTTTCTATATTTGGAAACCAGACTTGCTATTTGGTGTGAGAAAAACTGTTTTCTTGATATAATTTAGCTGAGTGAATTAGTCGCATTTCCCACAGAGCATATTGACATCATCTAATGAGAGTAACGCTGATTCATTGCTGTGTGGGGGTTAGTGTTGAATTCATGCAATGAACCACATACGTAAGTTCAACAGAAGCATGTGCTTTTCAGTTCAACAGCTAAAATGTTGACAATTCTTTTTTCTTCTTTTCCCTTCCCCTCTTCCTATAAAATGCAAAGAGCAGAAAATTTGAGATTTGGAAACCGTAACACATGTGGCTCCATTAGAAGGCTGTGGATTCAATCAGCAACTTGAGTATATTAAATAGACAAAGCACCAATCTTCCCATTAGTTCATTTCTAGAAACCTGTTTTGACAGGTATGCACAAAAGTATGTGGGATTAAAGTGGAGTTGCAAAAAAAATAAATGAGTGTTTGCATGAAAGCAAAGTAACAAGATGACATATGTTGTTGCAGTCAAGGTGATTTACATTGCAGTGTAGTCAGATGCAAATTTTGTGCAGTACAACTCCACCAAAATGAATGGGTTTGCTTATGTGCAGCTGAAGACAGAGCTTGGCTCATTGTACATCTGACCATTTTCTCACTGAATCCAATGAACTTTTTCTGGCATTTACTCAGTGGGAGTGGATAGATGTCTGGCCAGTCATGTGCTTTTCAAGTCTCCTTTGAAAATAAAAAAACTTCACTGCCTTTAGTAAAAATCTAAAAGCGCGTATGTTTTTGAAGCTAAGCCCACTCTCACTGTGAGTGGCATCTGTGGGGAAGTCTACATAGGCATGTTTTGAGGCTCTGCATTATACCCATCTCACTTGTTTCACTCCTAAGGGAATTCAAAGACGCATTTTTCAGTCTTTTAAATCAATCTCAGTGTTAGATGACTGAAGTAGCTTGGAAGTAATGTAGTATATTATCAAGCACAGATTTACCAGGGGCTTTAGCCCCCATGTTTCCTGTTTTCTGTCTTTATATCCTCACTCTGACATCAGTGCTACTTTCAAGCACTGTGTGAGAGCACCTTAGAAAAGCTGCAGCACATAAAGAAGCCTCAATAAGGGACTAAAGCCTACTGCAGTGGTTGAAACAGATGAGGAGGCCTTTTTCCTTTTGTAAATCATTTCAAATGTCATCACCTTCTGATCCAGGGCAACAAATAATTGATATCAATGGGAATGTCTGTGCAAGGATGGTGTAAGTAAGATTATATAGGATCAGTCAACAATATCCTTGCCAAATCGAGTTCAGGCCTTTCAAATGGCAAGCACCCATTGAGAAGTCTCCTGGTGCCAAAATCTTAAAGGATCTGAGGTTTGCAGCTTTCCCTTAGAGGTATGGAGCACTTTCAGCACTCAGCACCAAACTGTGACCTTACACAGAATTTGGTCTGCTGATTTAAGAAGTTGGCAAGAGTTAGAAAGATATAGGCTGTCTGCATTTCTTAGAATTTAGCAATAAATCATCAAGCAGCTCAGAAGCTTTAGGATAATATAGTTACTCTGCCCTGTGCCTACTGCTCAGTTTCTCATTCAGTCAGATTGAGACATGTGAGTCCATCAGCACTGGAAATAGGGATCTTAAAATTATCATCATAGTTTGACAAGAGCCCTGCTGTGTGCATGTGGCTTTCACTTGTAGTACCAAATACAAAATGCAGCTCTATCAAAATCGCTCTTCAGGCTTGCTCCTCAGAATTTCCTAAGGCTAAAGGCAGTAGCTGCAGGAGTTTAACTTTTGTAGAGGATCAGACACTTTAGGTACTGAAAACTGAATGTGCTGATGAAAATGAGCCTGTCAGCGTGATCATGCCAGCATTCATTTGCAATGGTTATTTTATGTTTTCATGTCTATACCAACTGAATTTTTCAATTTTTAAAAATCTTTATATATTACCATAAATACGTTACAGTGCAAAATATATGATTATATTAAAGTCATCTGTTAGAGAACAGTTTTCTTTATTTCTTTTTTATGTACTTCATATTGAGCAGGCTCCAATTTTCATGGCAAATGAAGATTCCTCTAGAACTTAAAAGCAAGATTTGCAAACCATCCATTTGCACATAGGAAAAGAGTTAAAAGCTAAATACTTTTCTTTCCATATATGCCAGAAGGTTCTTCATAGTTAATAGAAAAGCAAAGAGAGGCATCAGGATTCGAGATGTTTATTTTCTTTAAAAACATAGACAAGCATTTTGATTACTTTCAAACACTTTTTCGCTTGCTTTTAGATTCTTATTTGTAAATATATATATATATATATGTATTAGCAGATCAAGCTAAAAATAATAAAAGAATTCATAATAATTAATAAAAGAAGCCTTTTGTCTTTCCAGACATTTAAAGCAGAATTCAAAGTACTTATCAGTGTTTTTTTGGATTAGCACTTTCAGATTTAGAACCTAACTTTATTTTTGTGCATCTTATTTTCCATACCAAAAAAAAAGTTACACTTCTACTGTAGGAATTGTATTTTTTAGTTAAACCTTGGTGCAAAACTTGCAGAGATCCCAGAACAGTGGGCATTTTCTTTTCTCATTTCACAGTCTCTTTTAATTATCCTGAGAGACCAATTCATCCCATTTTTCTTAGTTTCTAAAAATCTTTTGGAAGACTTTTACTGTGATTTTACTGTTTAATCATCACCTACTCAATCACTTGAAATTTACAAGAAACTACAGTCTTCACCTATGTAAAATCCTGATTGCCCTAGAAGCCAAACTGTGCAACACTGGGAGTTAAGAATAACAGTCCTTTCTCTCTTATTTTTTGGAGATGTGGGATCTCCCTAGATGCAGTATAGGTTTTGTGGAGATACTAATTTTTACAAGCAGAATAATTTATATCCTTGTTCAGTTTAGTAATGTTGTCTCTTGTTAATACATTTTGCCAACAGAGGATTGCCACCCTCACTGTCACGGTAATTCCAATTGCATGATTTGCTTTGTGTTGTAGAATGTCTCTTTTATGTCATAACATGTTTGTCATTCTGCCAGTTCAGGACATGCCTTCCTTGAGTGCTGACCCAGCTCACCATCCGATGTACTTACTTGCTCACTGCTCCCTTACCAGAGAGTTTGTTGTCAAAAGTCCTGTAATAGTGGAGCCAGTTCTGCTCCTGATGAATTAATGGCAAAACTTCCATTAATTTAAGAGATCTGGAAAATAAAGAATACAGTTTTTCTGTAGGTACATATTTAGGCAGATTAGCTGCTTCGGACTTCTTGGCATACATTCTCATCTGCATGTGTCTGCACAGGAGTCCAGAAACAGGAAAGATGGGTTTTTAGTACCAAATGATTTTCAGATATCCACCTTATTTTCAGGGCAGAAGGATGGCTCTTTTACATTGGTTTGCAAAGAAACTTCATGTGAGAGTTTTCTGGAAAAGGCCCATCTTAGTTAACTGTAAGTCAGGATAAGTACAGAGCCTCATGTACAATTCCCTTGACCTACCTTATCAGACCTCAGAAAAAAATACCAATTTTTCAGCACCTATCCCCAGCATGTGCAGAGGATTGTAAGTTCCCATGCCCTGTACTCCAGCCAATTCCCATGATACAACATCAGAACTATCACAATCTCTGAGATTGACAGCTAGGAGATGTTTATAATATTGCTGGATCAGCCTTCTCTTAAAGCAACAAGCTGGGTATAAGCAAATTATTTTATTCTTCTCTTTGTTTTGAGTCACTCTCTGTAAATTTCTGTCACTCATTATCCTCTCATTAATGGAGAGGATTTCTTTTTTCTTTTTATTTATTAAAACAAACCCAAGCCTACTGTACGACACCCAGTTCAATATTTTGTTCCTGAAATTGTATCTGCATCCTTAGGTAGAAGCAAAAGGAGTAGTTGCAACTTGCTCCCTAACAATTTCCTGAAGCATTGAGCATCCCCAAAGACACTTAGCATCTTTCAGCAGAATCCTCTTCTCACCTTGGAGTGCTTTAGATTAGGATGTGGCTGAGGTGAACTTTGGTGTCTCCCTGCCACTAACAGAAGCTTTGCCATTTCATCAGTGGGAGCAGCAGGACTTTCTTATAGAAGAGGAAATGCACTGCTGTTTTAACATCGTTTTTACTGGTACCCATCTGTTTGCTGAGAGTTGTCATAGATAAACAACTTGTTCATGTCTGATCTTGGTTCCCTTTGTGCCACACATCTAACTCATGTTGTTCAGGTACCTATCTTAACATTCGACCTGCGTTTACACAGCAAGTCCTGCAGGAATTTCTTTTAAAACTGTGTGTGTTTCTTTTTAGGGACCACCAGGACCACCGGGACCCCAAGGGCTGCAAGGTCCAAAGGTGATCTTCCTTATTTTGCCCACTATGTTTTAGGAGTTGAGATATTTATTAGTTTTCTCACTACACATTTTGTATCTGGAGCTCTCGCATACAGTATATTTACCTGAAATTGTATTGAGTACAGCATGCTTCCAACTTTGCACTCTGGCAATTTGAAATGTAGCTTCCCAGAAATAGTACTTTGATTTTGTGCCATGCACAGTGCTCAGTTGAGAGCTGGCAAAATTAACTGGTACAAAACCAGCGTGGAAGCATCTTCCTCATGGATCTACACGGAGGCTGATCCCTAGGATTTCTGCTGCAGAGAGCGATCTGTGTGTTTGCACAGTAGCTGCACCAGCAGACAGTTGTTCCTGTGCGTTGCTTCTGGCTACGTGGGAAGCAGTCTGAGTTTGGCCACAGAGCAAGTGCATGTCAACGCAGCTTCTGTATTGCAGTAGTGCCCACCCAACGAAGCACAATATTTTCTAATCTCTGTAAAAATTATAACGTGCACGTGTGGGCAGCATCCTGGCTGCAAATCCAAAGCTGCTAACCCCACCTGTTGGGGTTGTGCACAGTACCAGAGCTATTAGTGAGCAGCCCACACAGAGACAATGAATACCATATGCTGCGCTGTTCCATAAAATTTAATAAATTTGCCTATTCTTAAGAAAACAGAAAGTGTTGCATGTAGTGCAATACTTATATTGGTTTTAAATTAGTTGAGATAATTCTCCTACTTCTTAAATATTGAACGTATCATATCTTCTGCCAGTGTCACTAAGCTCTTCCAAGAGTAGATAATTGTTTCTTCAAAAACAGTATTAAGCATTTGAATTTCAGGCTTCATCTGTGATATCATGTGGCAATTCATCCCATTTAACATGTTAACTGTTTTGAGAAATTGTAAACTATCGAATTTCTTCTATATGAAAACCGATAATGGAACACACAGTTAAGCATGCAAGAATTTCCACATTAGGTTCTACGCAGCACAAGGATTTCTGCAGCCAAGAGTATGTTGTAAAACACAGAGGAGTTGATGTCTTCCGTCATCTGGTTGTTCGTTTCTGTTCAAAGCTAATGACATAAAGCAGAATTCAACCTTACAAAAGTTTGTTGTCAATATCATAATCTATCCCCATCTTGCTCCCTTGGGGAATGCTATACGGGGATCAGCGCGTAGCGCAATGCAGTGAATGTGAATTCCTTCCCTGGTGATTTATGTTTGTTGGGAAAGAAAACATGAGGTCTCTGTCAACCCTATATATATCAGGGGCCATGATTCCATATTTATTCCAGTAACGAACAAAGTTCCCACTTTCTTCCCCAGCCTTTTGGGGTTTCTTCTTCTTTTCTTTCTTTCTCTTACTTTTTTGCTTATCTTTATGCAACTTAAAGTTTATGAACTTTGAAACAGCTCTTTGGCTGAGCTGTTTGTTCAGTATTGTGTACAAGTATTGTATGTATATACAATGTATACCAAGAGTGTTCTCTGGTTTTGTTGTTGCTAATTATTAATTACAAACGTTACTGACCAGTTTAATAAATTTAGTACTTCTTTTTCCATGAATGTCTTGAATAATTAGAAGATAATAATCCAATTCCATCTTACCTTTTGCAGGGTGAGCCAGGATCCCCAGGAATTCCTGGAGTTGATGGGGAACAGGTAAACCACCTAGTGCAGATTGTATGAACTACCATGCATCATTCCAGAGGATATTTCTGTGATCTCAAGTTGCAGCTTAGATTTGTTATCCATATGATCATTATTGTGTTCTTGTGGCCACATAATGGCTGTGATTCTACGTATTAATAATGAAGGTCAATCCATAGCATGACTTATTCTGCTTGTTAGGATCAAAGCTAGTATTCTGTTCCTACAGACAACTTGCTAAATAAATAAATACATATTTTAGGGTCCTAAAGGACTAAAAGGAGATATGGGTGAACCTGGAATGCATGGAGAAAAGGGAGGAATTGGACTACCTGGATTGCCAGTGAGTATGAATTAATTTTGGCTTAAATAAGTATATTTTTAATATCTCCCTCTATCAGGAATTTCCAGCAGTGCTGGAAACACATTACATTATAAACACATTATCATTCCTAGATGGATTGCTAATGAGATCTGAACTATTAATAAATGCTTTTTTTTAATGATTTTATAGGGAGCCAATGGCATGAAAGGTGAAAAAGGAGATGCTGGTTTGCCTGGTGCCCAAGGCCCTTCGGTAAGTCTCAGTGTGTTGTTGCAGTGGACGTAGTAGTCCAGCAATAGTGTTTTAGCTTTTAGTTCTGAGGAACAGTTCATATTCACAGCTTGTCTTTCCAGACATTCTTGATGATTTCTCTGCTTGAACTTTCACAGTATTTTGATTCATAATTTAGCTGTAGTCCATGGCCTTTTGAAAATTAAAGGACTTAAATATTTACCTTAAACAGCTAAATGCTGTTGAAGAAATGCTACAGATTTAGTTATTTTCAATTCTATTCCTTTGTCATAAAGAACAGTCCTACTGAGTTCTGGATCTCTAAACTATCAGAAATAAATGCTGTGCAAAATAATAGTAAGAGATAAAATCAACAAAAGCAACCATAATCAGATTTATTTCAACACTTGTATTATGGTGATCTATGAAAGTCCAGTGAGAAGCAGACTAGACTGGCTTCAGTGATGTCAGGAATCACAGAATCATAGGGATTGAAGGGGATCTCAATAGATCACTGAGTGCAAACCCCTGCTAAAGCAGGTTGCTACAATAGGTCACACAGGTAGTCAACCAGATGGCTCTCGAATATCTCCAGAGAAAGAGACTCTATAACCTCTCTGAGCAACTGTGCTAGTGCTCTGTCATCTCACAGTGAAGAAGTTCTTCCTTCTGTTAGTATGGAACTTCCCATCATCCAGTTTCTGCCCAATTCCCCTTTTGTGACACAAGATAAAGACTTTCTTAACATAAAATAGTTGGGGGAGAAAGTTCCGGTCTTGTGTATATTTATGCTTAATTTTCTACGTAAACCCTGCATAATTTTCTGCATAATTTTGATGGAATTAATACACAAATGAAAATGTATTGTTGCTCTGTACTTGTCCACTTGTAAATAATATTATCCACATATGAAAGCTTTTCAGGGCCAGACATCTTCCTGACTTTCAAAGCATTGTAAAATCATTAAAAAAAAAAAAACAAAAAAACACCTCAATAACTTCTTTTAAGGATGACTAATGTTATCATTAAGCTACCCACCTTGTTTATGGTGGCATGCACTGGGTATTTGGTACATAAGCTCTGAGAAATGAAAGAAGTTTGTCATCACAAGACACTGGGCACTCACTGTCTCTTCAGCGTATGAGTGTTTTGTTATGTTTGTTAATTTGCTAACTCATTCACCTTGCTCTGCTTGACTTCTCTTAAAAAAAGGCTTTCCATTTTCAGAAGACTTCACAGATGGTGGATTGATCTCTCCATGTCTGAAAGCTTGTTTTGTTCTCACTAGTGTCACCACCAATGGTCTGTGTTGGTGAGGGGCTGAGTATCAGTTTGGAGACATGAATTAGCATCCTCACTGCCACCATGCAGGCTACAGTAGAGACCCTTTGGGGTTAAACCCTGGGAAAGAGGTGACGCTGAATTGTAAATATCATCATGACATTCCCTTTTATGGATTCATTAAGAATGCAGAAAAACAGCACAAAATAAGCATGAGCTACATGCCTGAGCAACCTGATCACCTTTGTTAATGACTTCAGGGAATTCTTGGTACAAGTGGGCTAAGCGAAATGAAAGGAGAGAAAAAGGGTAGTCTTGAAAAAGTGTGAGTTATTTAGTATCTTTTATCCATTCATCGTTATTGGGAAGGAATTGCACAGCATCTTCAGCATCTTCTGCTCTTGTAGGTTACATAGTACAGAGACAGCTAAGGAGCATATATATAAAAGTTTGAGCGCGTATTTTCAGTACTGCTTTTTTTTTGTTTGTTTGTTTGTTTTTTGCCCCATGTTGTTCTAAGGTGTATGAGTCTAGGAGCAAGAATCAGAGACGGGCATGTTGCCATATGGCACAAGCAATTGACTTCAGGCACACTTCAGGCACCCCATCTTCCAAGTTACAGTAATTCCCATTTCTAAAACCGTTTTCTAGATATGCTGTCATGGTGTACCATTGCAATGCTACGTTTATAAGTGCTTGCTTGCCAGCAGAAGAAGGATCAATCTGAGTTTTGGTATTTGTGGGGAATTTCTTCACTGCGTACGATTTAATCTCGTTTTTTTTTTTTTTATCCATAGATCATAGGACCTCCTGGACCTCCAGGGCCACATGGTCCTCCGGGCCCTATGGTAAGCTTCGGACAAAGAGAACAGACTGGGAAGTGCTTGAACCCACTTATTTTAATACCTGATTAATAGAATTATGTGAGAGCATATGACAATTAGAGGGGGGCCTAATTTAGGACCTTTAAGTACGTTGGAAGTGAGAAACAAATTGCACCTGCCTATGCTGGTGTAAACATGTTACTGGTCTGGTTTATTCTCTAAATCAGGTGTTTACAGTTGCTTTATTGGCAGCTGCATTTCATTTGCAAGAATAAAAGAACAGATGTAACTTTCACCCATATAGAGCACCAAGCTCTTTTAAAAACTCATAGCATATTTTTGTAATTGAGCACAGTATCTTTATTTTCAGGGACCTCATGGCTTACCTGGCCCGAAGGTAAATTAATGGCTGTCTCAAATAGTCATGTTCTTGATGTCTGTGAAGTGTCATTCTTTGTTCTTTAATGCATGCAGCTATGTTTTGTTTGATGTCTCATTCAATAAGTGTTTCTGATATTCTTAAACCTTAAAGCAAATCTTAATACTGATAGATAGCTTAAAAGATCTTAAATTTTCTGTGATTGCATCTGGTTAGTATTTCTCCTGAGCATTGGCTGAATCCATTTTTTGTATTGAGATAATGTGCTATGGCACTAAATTATTCTGTTTCCTGGTGTTGGGCAAGTTACCACTTCTGTTGCAATTCTGAACATACAAGTGGCATATACTCAGGAGATGAAGTCAGAGAAACCCCTCTTCCTTTATGCTCTCTTGCCTCTCCTACTTCTTCCAGTATGAGTGGCCTCTCACTTTCTTTGGCGCCATGTCCTCTGCTGACCAGTTCTGTCATGCACTGGGCAAGTTCCCTGCCACAAGCCTGTTTGTGTATTTTCATGTTTTTCAATCCCATTCCTTGATGAGGCAGATTTTCTGAGCGTCTTCTGCAGTGCGGTACGTGAAGATGCACAGCAGGGACTCTATCAACATTAATGGCGCTGGTGCTGCTATCAGGAATGAGTCTTTTAATCGTCACAGCTCCCCAGTCGCATGCACCTTTCTAAAAGAAATACAAGATGAGGAGTTCTTTCATTTAGCCTTTGGTGTGGCTTGTTTTAAGTTGCGAGAAAATCTTCACAGGTTTGACATATTATAAGACTATTTGTGTCACCTCGGCAGAAGAATCTGGAGTCATTGATCATTTTTTGAAGTCAGGTCTGTTCCATTTACATACCAAACCTGTCTTACTTCAGGCTTTTGGCCTAACACCCGGGCTTTTGTGAAACTTCTCAGGTCTGTTTCCAAAATTTCAGCATTTTCAGTGCTACTGCTCTGAAAGTCACACTGAGTCAAATGGAAGAAAAATGAAGAAATGGGTGCCAAGGGGGCACAGCTGTCTGGTGTTACTTAAGGTAGCAAACTAGATCTCATTCTGAATTTTATTTTAAATGTATATGGTATAAAGTAGCATAATACATCAAAGGCTGGCCTAGGAACAAGGCCATGGGGAACAGCCTGGATGAAAAACACACACGTTTCTGTTACCCAGAAGGGGCAGGCACAGTCATTACCTTTTTTGACTGGGTAGCCCTCATGCTGGGGCAGATTTTTGTGATGTGAGAACGATTTATAGGAAATTGCAAGTCCGCCGTTATCCTCTTAGTAGCGTTTAATGTAATAACCTATGCATAATTTAACATTCACAACAAGACTGGTGCCATTTCTTATGTTGTTTAAGCCTCTCTGTATGAACACAGAAACTATGGACCTCCAGAACAGCTTGACGCTGTATAATGTATACTGCTGCTTTCAATTTGCTTGAGCTTAATTATATGTGCTTAAAGGTTTAAAATATCTTTAAATGAGATTTTGGTGCAAATTCCAGTTTGCCATAGGGAAAAATATTGATTCCTTCCAAAACAGGAGATCTGACTGTAGGAGACTTTTGATTTGAGGCTTGATTTTCAGGAAGTTTTCTTTCTATTTGAATCATCTGTAGAGAGTAGGCTATGGGATTTGAGGAAATCCTCAAAAGCCCTGAATTGTGTGATTAATTTCAACTACCTAAATAAGGTGATAATTATTGAGAATCTGTTGCTCAGAAGTTTCCAGTATTTTCACACAGACATCAGTCTGCATCAGATATCTCCCAAGTACTTTGTCTCAGGTCTGTATCTATAGGCTGAGAAGGCTGAATGTGAGTCCCTGCTTTAAACTGGAATTTGCAGCCATTTCTGAGGCTGGCTTTTTCTATCCCAGCTTAAGCACCCATTATAGCACCAAAAATTTGGCATTTATACTTTTACATTTAGGGTGAACCAGGGTTAAATGGTCTTAAAGGATTGAAGGGTGAACAAGGTCAAAAGGGTGACAGAGGGCCCCTTGGTCTTCCAGTAAGTAAAAAATCCCAAATCTATTCAATTTCAGTGCAAATTGCAAACTTCTCTTTCTGCTTACAATGAACAACACTGGTTTGCTCAACAGCATATATAGAATAAGCCATGGTAGAGCCAAGCATCAGCCTGTTTTTGTTTGTCCAAGTCATGCTCTGTAACACCCAGTGCTGTCAGGTTTTTGTTACGTGTCAGTTGAAAGCATTCAGTGTTGTGAGGATGCCATCAACCCCACTACATTCATCATTTTGTTATTTCAGTGTTGTATGGTGTTTGTGTTAAAAAGGGCATCTCCTTCTTCCCCACACCTTCATTTATTCTTCCTCTGTGAAACGGAGAAGTCTAACTGAGCAAAGTTAAAAAATTGGCTTAGGGGTTAGAATTTTCTAATTATTTTTCTAGAAGATGGCTCTTCAACACTACTATATTACTCTTTTTTCCTCCCTTTTTATTATGATTATTTTTTTCCTTTTTTTTTTTTTTTTTTTTTTTTTTTAATTGGCCCATGTCATTCCCCGTGCCCCAGGTAGACATGCACGCTCCGCTAATCCCAGCCTAGCAGCCCATTCTCCTGCTATTCGCAGGTGACCCAGCAGAGGTCCTCCCGTCCCCAAGGATGCCGACCAGGCGGTGCCGCAGCCCCGGGCGGAGCGGGGAGCGGAGTGGGAAAACAGGAATCGTGTTTGTTCGCCGGGCCGCGCGTCCTGGGAATGAATGGGGCCATTGTAGAGTCCAGGCTTTGTTAGCTGCATAATGCCCTTAAATACTTCTTATCTCTCTTAGCATACGCTGTTGTGTTTTGCTTTGTGTAGTAGGGTATTCAGTATTGTCCTTATTTACAAATTAGAAAGCAAGCAAGTAAATGACAAATTAAATATTTGCTTGCTAAGGCTAAAAACACCCCAACTTCAGGCGTTTGGAGTAACTGTGTAGCTTCGTTTTTTTTTCTGGGCAAATGTGCTGCGGTGGGAAGGCAGGGGTGGGTCAGTGGTCCAGTGCTAATGTCAGAACCGATGCGGGCTCTTGATGTTTCATGTGAATTTTTAACTAACATGCTGTAGTAATGTGGTACCCGTCCCAGAACCCCGTCACAATTCGTATTGTACATTTGAATTATGTTTCTTCATCAGCACCACTTACTAATCTCACGTTCTTGTCACCCGTGTCGTACCCATCATCCATGCTTCCACCTAACCACACAGGGAGCATCTGGCTTAGACGGAAAGCCAGGACCCCGGGTGAGTCCCTTGTCTTTCCATGTCACTGTGTTACCCAGGCTGTGCACGGCCTGGAGGAATGAAGGCCAGGCATCGCGGCATCTTCCATGCTTTGTCACAGGCTTCAAGCAGCCTCCTAGGGCAATGTGTCGGGGAAAGAGAACGAGATTCATAGCAACAAGAAGCTCAGAGCCTTAGGAAAGTTGATATTCGGTTAGATAACTGCTGCACAGCCTGCACTGGTTGGGGTTTTCTTACCCGAGCAAGGTTAGGGATTTGCTTTTCATAGGAAAGCATACTTGTTTTGTGCTAATATGGAAACAGTGAAATGGAATCAGGTGTGCTAGGCTTCTACTGCAAGCATTGTTATATTTAAAATACGTTCTAGATTCCTTATTTCTTAGTTAATTAATGAAGTATGGATCATCATAACGGGGTGTGTCCACCCATAAAGTGGACATTTCAGATTTAATAAAACAAACAAACAAAAAAACACAACATTTAAAAGCAAGCATTATTTGAACCTTCAGCTACTACTAGCCACAATAACTTTCAATAGCTTTTAAAAATCTTTGTACAACTTCCATAAAGAAATTCTAATCCAACTAGAAAAAAGATGAGCTACTTTGTAACATGAGAGCTTATAGGTTGAGTTTTGAAAGCCAGATTTGTTTGCCCAGGTCCCAGCATAATTAAATCTGCATTTTCATCTGGTGATGGCTGATTCCATATTAGTTTTTGGCTAGAAGACAGCTACTAAAGCTAAAGACTTGAAGGAACTGGACCTCCCTCTTACCCTCTTGGCTTCTCTTCGCAGGGTATAGATGGCCCAGTTGGTCCCCATGGCCCTGCAGGCCCTAAAGGAGACAGAGTAAGTATACATTCTGTGTGCTTTTCTTTATGAAGACAGTGCCACAATTGCACTGTCGTGTGGCTACTGCAGCATGCCTAGATGTTACTAAGCCAAACAATATCTCATCTGTGTAAGGATCAACCCAGAACTGCATTCAAGTTACGTGCACGTTTATGTTTGATTTTGTAAGTCATTAACTTTAGAACTGGTATTTTGTAATTACTAATCAGTGAAGACCTTACAGGAGTGTCATATTTACAGTGTTACTTGGGACATAATTTTGCTTAATTTCACTGATTAGTGTAAATAGTTTGAGAGAATAAATCAGATGATAAGAGTGATCTGGGCATACAAATATGCAAAAGCAAAAAAAAAAAAAAAAGCATATCATGTAGTTATTTGCATTACATTTTTTATCTTGAAAAACACTAACTTCTATAAATCTAAAACTTTCTTCTTTTTCTTAAGCATAGAAAATAGGAACCCTTCTATTTAATCTGAAATATTCACAGTGAATTTTCTCCAATGAGAAGAGGGTAGGGCTCTTAATCTTTAACGATGAGTCTGTCATCTTTAACAATCCTACTGTGAACTTGTACAACAACAAAGCATAAGTGATACATTACACTAAAACCTCCACAGAGATGCTAGCCCAGAATTATGTCTCTTTGAATTTCTCAGTTTAACAAAACAGCTGTGTTGAAATGACTTCAGACTTGCTGCATTAGGGACATGGCCATATGGCTTAGGTCCAGTTAGCTCAAACAGCAGTGCATCAGACAAAGGTATGCATGACTCGAGCATTCATTTCTACAGAGCTGTTTGTTGGGGAATAAATACAGGACGTGAAGCATGGTTCCAAAATAGGAACAGTGTCTTGTAGCAGGCTCATTAATGGTTAGTCTTAGGGCTTGAGTCTTTTCCCTTTTTTTTCTTTGGGGATTACAGATTCAAGTCTTTTTGCAACTAAAACAACTTTTTTTCCTATCAACTCTGTGGAAAGATGGTGAAATGTCATATTCTGCATTTCCAAAAATAATTTAGATGAGAGATACATTTAGAAATAAATAGAGATACCATACTCACAGATTATGAACTTGCGAAGGTTGTTCCAACACCTGAAATTTCCATTAAAAACAAAGTGCTATGATATCAACTATTCTTCTAATGTATGGAAAATGACTACAATTGTTCTTCCTTATGCAATTCTCCAAGGTCATAATAAATCATACATCTGGATCTAGAATTAGCCCTTTCATGGCTGTTGACAAGAAGTAGTTACAAAGGAGATGGGAGCTGCTGAGATGTAGATCAGTTCAATAATTCCATTTGCGTGCAGAGACTGATTTACAAAAAATACTGTAACTAAGATTTGCATACCCACTATTCTCTATGTAGCCAAAATGAATGGAATTCATCAGAAAGATGGATTTATTTTTCCAAGCAGACATCTAGTCTGATTATTGCTTGTAATCCTTTATTTAATAATTTAATGTTGGTTGGAAAGAGGATGTGTGTATATAATGGTCATCTGATAGGTGCCTGAGCTTGATAAATGTCTTGTTATCTAAATAACAAATGATGTATTTTTAACACAGTCTCATAACCTGCACTTGCAGCTGTTGAACCTGTTTATGTGAAAGCAGGATGAAAACATGTTTTGACTGCAGATTTCAGATTGCACCTTTTAATTAATAATAGTGCACAAAGCCACCACTCTGCCACTGGACAGGATCACCTGTTTCCCTGATGATAAGAAAAACCTTGGGATAATTTTAGCCTAGAAGGGCACTAAGGAACACTAATGTGAAACAGCCACATTATTTTAAGTTTGGAAAAGTAATCTCACTTTAAGAGATTACTTGCAAAATGCTGGTTGCTATTCATTTATGACTACTTAAAAATTAAGGAAATGAAGGACAATCAAACAAAAGCCTGATGGTGTCGTATGTAGAAAGCATGGCTTCATTGTTACATAGGCAACATTTGAGGCAATGATTAATTGCTTTTCTTAGGTAGAACAGACTTGTACTTGGCTAGTTTCAAACTTAACTATTTAATTAAAATAGAAAATGTCAGAGAGTCCTTTATAAAAAACTTATTTAGATGATGTAAAAGTAGAATAGGGATACACTGCAATTCACTAGAAAATAGGAAAATAAATATTAGAATAATTGTGCTGTTAACTCACTGCTTAGCCATGTAATTTTTTCTCTTCACTTTAAGCTGTTATAGAAAGTGAACATAGAATGATATCATCTTAGAACCATAGAATGGCCTGGGTTGAAAAGAACCACAATGATCATCGAGTTTCAGCCCCCCTGCTGTGTGCAGCGTCACCAGCCACCAGACCAGGCTGCCCAGAGCCACATCCAGCCTGGCCTTTAATGCCTCCAGGGATGGGGCATCCACAACCTCCTTGGGCAGCCTGCTCCAGTGCGTCACTCAGGGATGATACTGGTGAATGTTTCAGTGCTGAGTTTGTGTATTTCTCTTGGTAGAAGGAAAAACAGCAATTAATAGAATGAGAAACCAATTACGCAGTCTTATGTAATCCATAGCTCATATTCACCTGTGATTCAGGTGACTAAACTGAAATAGGAGGTAAAAAAGCAAGTCTGCAGATTTTGTTCTCTGGGTGCTGATGAGTCCAGAGGAGGACTGCTGAGATGATCAGGGGGCTGAAGCATCTCTCCTATGAAGAAAGGCTGGGGGAACTGGGCTTGTTTAGCTTGCAGAAGAGAAGGCTCTGGGAAGAGCTCACTGTGACCTTCCAGTACTTGAAGGGAGCACATAAACAAGAGGGGGAGCGGCTGTTTACAAGGGTGGATAGTAATAGGACAAGGGGGAATGGTTTTAAACGGGGGGGGGGGGGGGGGGTTAAGTTAGATATGAGGAGGAAGTTTTTCAGCCAGAGGGTGGTGAGGCACTGGAACAGGTTGCCCAAGGAGGTTGTGGATGCCCCATCCCTGGAGGCATTAAAGGCCAGTCTGGATGTGGCTCTGGGCAGCCAGGTCTGGTGGTTGGCGACCCTGCACATAGTAGGGGGTTGAAACTAGATGATCGTTATGGTCCTTTTCAACCCAGGCCATTCTATGAATTCTCTTTCAAGAAAAAATCTTAAAACCATTTCTGAACTTGGCAAATGTCTGTTTCCCCAAAGGGAAAACTTTCTCATGATTGCTCAGGGCAGCATGCCTGTGACAATTCATCAATCTTATATAATCCATAAGCATTCAGGACCTCATCTGATATTCCAAACACATCTCAGCATGTGCTTTGGATTGGAGGCAAAAATTGTGAGATACAGTTCTCTGGATATATTCTTACATAACAGATGTGACTATTTCCCTAGACTGATATGCTAAGTGTTCAGTATTTTTATGTCTACCATATGTTTAGGCTGTCTTGTGGGGACTTTGTACAGTCATCTTTGCTGTTTGAGATTGGAAAAAAGAAAGATACTTAACTAGTCTTGATGTGCTTTAAGTATCTATCAAACAATTTTGTAGCTGCTATATACATAGGTCAGCACATTAGTTTCTTCTCAGCAAAAAGTTTTAAAGCTGCAGGAGAATTACTGCTTTGTAAATGAGCTGTTGCTTCCCAGTGACTCCTATTGCTCTGCCATGGTATCCAGCCTCAGCAGTGCACAGAATGGGCTGAAGATTTACAGAACAAAGAAAGATTGGGCATTACACATTTGAACTTCTCTACACTGCGATGAAGACAGACAGCATCAGTCACCATAAAAATGTGAAGTATCTAAAACAATCAAATGTCAGTTTCTCTGACAAACTCCTTGCTGCTGTGATTATTCAGCAGCAGGCTCAGACTCTTAGTTTATCCTGGTGCCTACTGTTTTGTATTATCCTGTCAAGGCAATCTAGACTTAGCCATGCTCTTTTAGAGCTGGGATAAGGGACTTGGTTGTGCAGGTGCACTACACTGTTATTTAGGCATATGTATACATAATTGCTCTGTGCTTTTAATAACGAAGAATGATGTATTAATACTAAATAATGAATTAGAACCAAGGGTGCTCGCATGGGTTAATGCTTACCAGCTCAACAAGTTTTGCTCCATTGTCAATCTTGATGATCTGCTGGAGAGCACAGATGATGGTACTGGCATTCTGAAATCGGTCATCTGGAAATGTCATTTCATTTGAAAAAATTTGCTCTATATTGTACTACAGAATGAGTTTCATAGCATCCCTCTAGATGCTTCTTCTATGGATTTTAGTGTGGAATTAGATCAGGGTTCTGGAGGAGTTCCTTTATTTTTTTTTGCTGCACAGCAGTGGACTCAATATAATAAAGCAGAGTATACACATCATTAATCTAGAGTCCAGTAGAGCAGCTAACAACATGGTACAGTACATAGGATAATCCCAGCAGTGTCACTAGGAATAGCATTGCCCGCTTAAATACAACCTTTGATTGACATATTATTTTTGCCTGCCAACTTGCCACATCTCAGCTGCTGTGCTGGAGCTTTTGCTGAGTGCAGTGTTGCAACTCTTACAGGCTTGATATTGAAATCAGTGCAAATTCAGTTTGAAAAGTATTTTCAGTCACTACGTTGTTTGAAAATAAGTATCCTATGCACAGAAAGTCACTTTGCCTGGAATGTAATACATGTTTCCTCCCCACCCCTGGATCATTTAACAAAGATAACAGAGCTTGGATATTTTTTGCTCTGAAGATTTAGGAGCTTGTAAGTTTTAAGGTAAAGAAAGCACTTGATAGACATTGTTTAAGCCAGACAATGTTTTTGTTTGTTCTGTATTCTGTTCTTAGGGTGAAAAGGGAACTGTAGGTGACCCTGGACCCAGAGGACCCTATGGCTTGCCTGTAAGTTGCAAGTAGTTTGTACCTGTTGTGCTTTTCAGCACTCCTTGATTAACCTGTGTGCTCCGTGACCACTTTTGACCTAGCGGTACAACTGGTTGGAAAAGGAAAAACTAGATAATGATCCCTAACAATGCAAGGTCACTGACTGGTGCCGCAGAGGTAGGTTCCTGCTCATGCCTGTGGTTATGCAAAAGTAAAGAAATAAGACCCACGATTAAGCAGCAAGTGAGAGGAAATCGAGAATTCAGGTGCTCCTGTTTGTGCAGCTTGCAATCTGGGCTGCCAGAGGATGAAGCAGCAGGACTTCAGGATGAAAGCTCTGATTTCTGGAATCAGAGTCAATAAAGTGTTCGTATTTCCTTGCTGCGAGGCTACTTTGCTATATTATTTTGTTTGATGCTACAGAAACATCAGTTTTAATGCTGTGCATTGTGCTCAGAAGTACTTTGAGGAAGAAGTTTGTTGTTGATCGTTCCTGGGTGGAGATGGTATGTGTTAAACCCAACATGTAAAAGATATTGGCCAGTCCTAAAATATGAGTGAGAACTTCCTTTGCCTGGATGAGTGTAACCCTACTGAAAGGAATCACTTACTTTGCTGATGGTCAGGTGTGCACATGTGTTTGTCTCACTAGTACACTGACACAAGGAAAGCTGTGCCACTGTGCTGCTTCCAGGCAGAACCAGCCTCTCTGAGAGCTTGCAGCACCTCCATATCCTCTTCAGCCTAATCTATTTGGGCCAAAATTAATTTAGGTGGAATACAGGCTTGGGGTTTAATTGGATGCATTTAATTGGATCAGCAGTCAACGAGAAGAGACAGTTTCAGGCTCTGTGGAACGCTGGATTAGCTTGCAGCACACGCTTACTGGAGGATCAGTTTTTGTGAGTTAATTAAAAAAAAAAAGGCATTTTCAGTTTCCCCTTGTGATCTATTTTTAGCCCGCTTCTGGAGCCTGCCTACAACCCACAGCACCATTTTACAGTCAAGTTATCAGTTTCTGGAAATGTTAAACACTGACTGCCACATCCTTCCCTAATGGCAGTGCTGTCTGTGTGCTCTGAGCTGCGCTGCTGCGGCTGCAGGGAGCGAGTACAGTGCTGGGCATGGAGTTGGCCTTGGGTAGCCAAGCTTAGGGACACTAACAGAGCTTATGTGGTTCTTTGGCAGGGCAAGGATGGCGAGCCTGGCCTTGATGTAAGTAATATGAATGAACAATGCCTCACAATGGTAGGTAAGCGTCTTGCAAGAAACAGCTTACTGATAAACACGTTTGTTTCCATTTAGTGTGCATGCAGTACCTACAAAGAGTGCACTAAATGCTGCATTTGCTGTTTTCCTATGATAAAGAAAACCAAGGCTATGCAATGTATAGCCCTTGCCTGCAGACCTCGCCAGAAGTAATGCTTAGGAATAAGAGTAGTTGCTCCTTTGGAAGTCAAAATACTTCCACAGTCAAACCTCACTTGGCTCACTTGGAGCAGAGCAAGGCGTTGCTAACATTTGATCAAGTAAATTTATCACTAAATAGAGGCAATTATTCCATAACTTCCAAGTGATGCATTTAAAATTTTAGACCCTTTTTCTGGCACGCTAAATAAGGCTTGCTGAAAGCTTTTGCCTCTCATCCATGGAAATCCCTAACTTGGAGGAGTATTCTCCATAAACCCACAAGTAGGTGACAAAGCATGAACCGTTTTGAGTGATCTGATTCCTTTCCCTTACTGGCAAAATGATGTGCCAGACACCGTGGACTTGTTTCACATGCTCTCATGTGCATGCGTGTCTGTGCACAAAGCACATGTACATACAAAACGTGTTGCGAGGTCACTTTTTTTGCACATTTTCCAGGTATTTAAAATCTTAACTTGCATGTGAATAGAAGTCGACCTACCTTTGTCCCTTCTTTTTATAGGGTTTCCCTGGTCCTCGAGGAGAAAAGGGTGAAATAGGAGAAAAGGGAGAAAAGGTGACCACGGTGTTATTAACTGTTGCTTTGTTCCTTGGCCCAGTCAGCTCTGCTGTCTTTATTCCATAATTCATCCCATTAAACCTGATCTTTGTTTTCCCTGTGTGCCAAAAGGCAGCTCACAGATGCACACTAAACAAAATCCTGTGTTAGAAAGATCATGAAAATTTATGCACAGAATGAGTGCTACCAATGCGTGCCAAAGCACAGCTTGTTTTTAGACTTGCTTTCTCCGTCCATCTTTCACTAGTTGAAAGTCCTTGTCAGCCTGAAACTTTTAATGCAGACTTCACCGAAATGAGTAATTTTGGTAGTAATGTCATACAGGAGACTCAGAGCCTCAGCAGCATTTCAGTGTAACTGCTGACCCCAGTGTACTGTACTGTGTACTGTGGCTGCACACACTGCCTGTCCCATACCGAGTGGCAAAGGACTGTGCTAATCTTTACTATTGACAGTGGCTTATTTACAGTTAAGAGAAGTTCTCTGTGATGGTTGTGGACTGAAATTAAATCTTATACTACATTTCTGGTAAACCAATCCAACCCAACCAACCGTGTGGGTAACAGAAGAGGCCTGACGTCATTTTCACTGTCCAGACATGGTGGCATGGAAATTTGGAAGATGCAATTTAGAACCAAATGATGTACAGAAATACTCTCTTCAAATAAGTTGAGACTAACTAATTTCTAGTTAGGCAACTTACTTTAGATTGAAATGTAAAATTAATATCATGACTAAAACACTGTTAAGAACGATGCTAGTTTTTCATGGATACGTCTTGATAGGCAAGTAGCTCATTACATCAGTTTTGAGAATAAATCCTAGGCCAATGGTTTTTGTTTTAGCCTGTTGACAGCTCAACAGTAGAACTATGTTAGTGTTTGCATTATAATGTCTGCTTAACTTGGCTGTAAAAAAAAAAAAGAAAAAAATATAGCTCCCATTACTTCTACAAAAGTACAGTCCAGGAGCACTCAGCACAGAAACATTTATACAATTGATTTTATATTTTCAACTTTTATAAGTAGAAGTCTATTATTTATTAAAAATCATTTCATGTGTACTACATTCTGCCTCAGTAAAGAGGTTTTAGAAAACTACTAAAAAGAGAATGGTGATTCAGATTCCACATTCAACATTCCTACTGCCAAAAAGGAAAAGCTTTAAGAAAAGATGTTATGTGTATAGGGCAGGAAGGGAGCCCTTATCCCAAAAGTGCAGTTGTCTCTTGATATAAGGGTTGTCAGAAGAGTACTGAGGTATCACCAGGGTGGCTGGGAAGGCATCATCACGTTCCCTGTATCCCCTGTGCTGCCACAACTGTGCATGTGGGGCCACAAAGATGAGTCCCACATGATGAGGGGCCTGGAGCATCTCCCATATGAGAACAGGCTGAGGCCTGGGACTGTTCAGCCTAGAGAAGACTGAAAGGGGATCTTATCAATGCTTATTAATATCTGAAGGAGTCAGGTGGGGCAGGGCTCTTTTCAGTTGTGCCCGGCAACAGGATAAGAGGCAATGGGAACTGGAACATAAGAAGTTCCATATGAATACAAGGAAGAACTTAGTTATGATGAGAGTAACAGAGCGCAGGACCAGGCTGCCCAGACATGTTCTGGAGCCTCCTTTTCTGGAGATATTCAGGACCCATCTAGACACTTTCCTCTGCGACCTGCTGTAGGAGACCTGCTTTAACAGGGCGTTGGACTCTATGAGGTCTCTTACAACCCCAACAATTCTGTGACTGGAGACTGTGCCAGCCTGACTGCCTGATCTTTTACAGAAGTGCCACAAACTGGTGTCTCTATAGGTGATGAGTAAGGACAGGAAAGAGACCTTTTTTTTTTCTTATTCATCTCCATGTCTTTTCACACTCTGTATTTCTGATGAAGCTCTATAGGTCTTGGTAAGGACATTAAGTACTTGAGGAGAGCTCAGTCCATGGGAAAACTGGTCAAGTCTTCAGGAACTCAGACTACTCTCTACACGTATGAGTGCTGTGTTGGTTCAGATAGGATCACAGGTTTGCCCTGCAAAGTTTGAAGTATAACTAGTCACCTGCTGACTTAAAACATAGCAAGTTAATGAAATAGAGGTCCTAAAGACATGAAGGAGTCAGAAATCAAACTGTACTATCTGTTGTTATAATAATTCTTTAAGTACGTCCACACTCTGTGCTTACATCTACTCACAGTAAACATATCTATGTTGCAATGAGCACAAAGTGAGATTTGACCCTAAAGCTGTTAAGATTCTGTGCTATAAAGCTTCGCTTCTAGGTTTAACATGAAAACCCAGCCAACTTGTGGTTTTTATATATCACAACCTTACAATTTGGTACATGAGGGTAATGTTTTTTCTAAGTATCATCCTGAAACTTTTTGGCACACAGAAAAGATGAACAAGGAACTTTGCCTATCATGTCGCAAGCACAGTATGTTTTGTTCATGGAAAAGATATTTTTTCATTCGAATGTGTCAAGTATGCTACGATGCTGAATGAATAATGTGCTTTCTTCTTTGTTTAAACATGTTACAGCTAATTGTTTTTTATTTGTGTAAAAAAAAAAAAAAAAAAAAAAAAAAAACTTTTTCTGTATGCCTGTATGTGAATGAATTAAGACTTTTCATGCTGGTGTGGTATAGTTAGATGTCTGTTTACTATGCTTCACCAAAACCCACCTGTCTTTCCAAAGGGGCATTCCTTCCTTCTCCTTCTACCTTCATCCCCCATAATTCCCCTGTCTTTTTTACCCTTTTCCTCACAAATTAAATCCTCCCAATAGCCACAACCTTGCTTGCTGGTTCTCCAGTGTCATACTAATTTTCCTATGACTATTTTTCCCGTTTCTTTGTGATATTCCTGATTCACTCATCCTTCCTATCCCATTTTTTACAACCATAGCCCAGTTTGTTTCTTTCTTTTTTTTTTTTTTTTAACGGAACCTTTTTTGATTTTTGTGAATTTGAGAGCCAGCCTGAAACTCATTTACCATTGTGATCAACTGGTGTGAAATCAATTAGAAAATGAACTCTCCAAACATCTTATACTGCTTGAAGGTGAGGTCATTTTTGCAGATAGCTTTATTGAAGGGATCAACTTATTCCATGAGTAACTAAAGTGTTGGAAGTTTCACATTTAAAAAGAAAATTCAGTTCAAAATCAAAGGATTTATGCAGTAAAACGAGTAGATGAAATGCTCTCTGCTGTTGAAAGAACATTTAAATAGACATTAAATAAAGATTATTCAAATATTAGGCTATTTAATTAAAGGAACTCTAATGATCCCTTTTAACTAGTTTATGGTCTCAAGTCATCATGAAGTCTTTGAAAGAACCACAGAACTTCTCCATCAAGCAGTTTGGGTGCTTTGATTCCTCTAACAGGGTTTGAAATAAAGGATCCCATTGTATTTAGAGTGACAGGAGCGCACCCTTGGTGATGGCAGCAGGTTTCCATGGACGTAACCAAGAATGGGATTTGTCCCAGACTCTTACCAGAGTGCAGGAGGTCAATTCAGCAAAGGATGCACCAGGCCAAGTTTACCCTTGATGTGACATCATAGCCCTTGACAGAATTCTGCCACAGACTGACTGTACCGTCCCTTCTGAAGTTTCAGAGAAACAATGCCAATGTCCTCCACTCTTGCCAAGCTACTTTTGACCCATGACAAATCTTCTGAAGAAGCTAACAAATTTATGTGCACTTCAGAACTGTCATTTATAGCAAATTGGAAACCTCTCATTTTGGACTATGGAGTGGGGGAATTTGCAGATTTGCCTCTTTCTGAAGAGATCAGAGATTTCAAGCCCTGTTCTAGGATTCAAAACATCCATGATACTGACAGGAAATGTCAACAACACAAACTAATACCAACTGATTGCAGTTCTTGCTTGTGATCATATAATTTATTTTTCCACATAATGCACCAACCAAAACAGAACACAGTGGTAAGTGTCCTTTCAGTTCTCCATTGGCTTAAAAAGAAAAACTCAAACTTTTCAACCAATCTTTCTTTATTTTTTTTCCCAAAAGAATGAAACATGTTTTGTCCAAACCATTGTATCCACAGGGGGAAAAGGGAAAGAAAGGCAAAAAGGGGCCTAAAGGGGAGAAAGGAGAACAGGGTGCTCCTGGATTAGATGCACCTTGCCCATTGGTACGTCTCGCTTGTGTATTGGACAACTGATCATCCTGCTATAGATTGATGGAATAAGAAATGAGGGGAGAGGAACAAGCACCACCTAGTGTGTCACCGGTTGCAGTTGTTAATGCAGCACTATCTCAAGATTCACAAATTGGGGAACAGAGTTGGTTTTTCAACCTCCTGATTTGGTTTAAACCAATGGATTTAAGGCCTTCAAGCAGGACATAGTTGTTGCTTTTTTCACTGTTTTCTGCTGAATGTTGAAAAAGAACCAAATTCAGTGTGGGTCAGAGTCCCTGACCCCATACATTGAGACTATACCACTGCTGTGAGCTTGCTCCTCTTGCCTCTCTGTTGTTATTTGTTTGCTCCAGCTAAGTCAATACCTAAGGCATTTCCTTGACAGTAACGTTGCAAGTTAATCTTTACAAACAGGGATTCCGTGGAATTAAGGGGGAAAAAGGGGAGCCAGGCCAGCCTGGCCTGGATGGGCTGGATGCCCCTTGCCAATTGGTACAGTATTTCTCTTTCCTACCAACCCTGCATGCAGTTCCTTTGTTTGTAGTCAGCCGTTCTCAATGTAAAGTAATGTATTTCTGAGCTGACTTTACATTACTCACATAACACATGCATGTGCATGAATAAATCAGCTGCTTTGGTGATCGTAACCATAAAGAAAGAGCACACTATCCTCCTGATGCCTCAGACCTAACTCTCAGCAGTTTGCTCCCACATCACATGGCTATTTATAAGTTTGCATCCTTCCTACATTTTCCCTGAGAATTGTTATTTCTTCCCAAAATGCCTACTGCTTTACTGACCCTGAACCCAAGTCTTTGTAGAACCCCACCACAATCACCACTTCTAATCTAGTCCAATGACTTCCGTTTGCACTGGCTCAGTTTTAAACCCTCGCCCACCTGAGAGCTACTCTGCACCCTGGTCTTCCTTTCAAATCCGTGTCGTTGAGGGTACATGTTTTCAGGATTTGGCCAAAATGAGTTTTATTTAAAGAATCAGAAAAATATGATTTCTGAAAATCAAGTCATAGGTTTCCAGTAAGCAAATCTGGAGCCTGACCTTTCAGACCTTAGACAAGCAGTAACTTTGGTGTCTGGTCTGTTCATCGAATAGTATTTAAATAGATTTGGAAAGGAAAAGCTTACCTGAAGTTTGTAAGAAGATAACAGTCTGCTGCCCAAACCCTCACTGTCTTTGTTATTTAATATCTCCAATTTAATGGTCTTACCCTTGGAACTTACCTTCCTGCAATACACACAACACTTCCCACTCTATGTTAGCATGAGTTCAAGTTCCCACCTGTACTAAAATTCTACTCGTTGACCCTCTCCCTTGTACCAATCTGGCAACACTGATTTAATGGCAAAGTAAGTTTAAGTTATTATCCATTTAAAAACTAAACAAACAGACAGGCAGTCCTACATACACATTTTCTAAAGAAGCAAGAAAGAATTTTTTTTTCATTGTTCATGGTGAAATTTGATCTGCATGTTCTGATACTGTTTGTTGGTTAAGCACGGTTCTCTAAGATGAATGTTAAATCAAGTAAATTTTCTTTCAACTAGATCTCTTCTAATTTAAGGTCAATGAATTTTAATCTTAAATACATAGTCTCTAAGATTAGCCCATGCTCCATTTTGTTTGCTTCCACTCAGTGGTAACCATATCTCATATATTTTGTTGGGGATAATCAAGCATGCCTTGGTAATTTAAAATTGTTTTTGTCTCTTTATTATCATTTATATCTGGAGGCTTACTAACAATTGATGAATGAAAATATGTTTCATTTACAGGTCTTTACCATAATAAGCTTCTAAGCAAGCAGCATGATTTCTTGCTTTAGGCAGCAAGCCATTCCCATCAGATTACATTACATTCAAAAATTCTCATTAATCACTACCTTTGTGTGCAAATCCACGTCAGAGGCGTTATTATTCTTTATTCTAAAAAACGTCAAGACCTGAACTTTTTGCTGCTCGAGTATCATGTATTAATGTCATATGTGCTCCTTGTTCTATGTATATAACTCTTTGATGGGTAAGGCCTATATAGCTATGTGAAAACCTGTGTTATCAAAGTCAAAAATTGGTCTGATCTTAGTGAGTGCATAGAAATGTGTGAAAGTAGGGTAGTGACAGAAAAGCAATGGTGAGACACTCAGTAGCCCCAACACTAGTGTTCTCCTCTGCTGTGTCATTCAGGACTGTTCAGACTTCCAGATTTTGCTGCTGCTTTCAAAAGCTAAGACTGAAAGTGAACAGAGCAGATCATTGCCAAATTTGAGTCTTGCTATCTTATCACTGGAATAACTTTGCATTAGGGGCTCAGAAAAAGCAATACCCTCCAGATAAAAGTGATAATGTTTTTTTGCTCATTGATCTTGTATATCCAGCTGTAGATTGTTGTGAATGACATTATATTTAAGTTGCTCTGGCAGCAATAGAAAAGTTATTGAAGTGTTCTTGCAATTAGACAAACGGTAAAAAAATGATTTAGAAAAAGGTATCTTTGTGGCAGAGATGCATGTATGGATTTACAGGGTCAACCACCCCTGTGGCTTTTTCTTCACCTTGAGAACAGGAGAGATGAAGTTAGGAAGCAGTAGCTACCTGATTGATAAAAAGACAAAGCTGCTCTAGCTGCTCTAACAGATATAGACAGAATAACTGTGCTATCAAACCTAACTGCATTCTTTTTATTTCTCTCCTCACATGGAAACAGGGTCCTGATGGATTACCAATGCCTGGCTGTTGGCAAAAGGTAGGATGGGTAGAGCTGTTCTCCCCAGGGCAGCATGTCCCTGGCACACAGAAAACCCTGTCGCAGTCATATTGAACAATACTTCAGAGCCTCTTAGGCATCTCGACATATGCAGAAACACAAAATAAGACCTCTCTGTGACCATAGTTGGTACGATGAGGTTGTAATGTATAATAGAAGTAGTATCTCATTGAGGCAGTATTTTAGAAACAGCTGGCATTCAATTTCTGCGAAGTCTAAAACGTTTTCATCTGAAGAGTCGCACATCCTATAGTTTCAGCACATGGCTGGTGCTTCCAATTCTTTATAAAAGCTCATGCATAGGATATTTTTATCAAACATTTACTTTGCTGTATTACGATGCTATTTTTCAGGGAAATCTTATAACAGCAATGCATCCTGCCCTTCTCTGCCTTACCTTTCCATTGAATATATTTTCCTGTTTGTTATGTTTTATACTAACAATAATTGTGTGATTGGTAATATTACTTTTATACTAACGTTAGTGGCAGCATTTTTTTAGTGCAGCTTTAACTTAGACGGTTCTAGTTTTAAAAACAGCGTATTCCGAGTAAAGATGTAGGTGGAGCGATACGTAAGAAAAAATGAAAACAAAGCTGAAGTGAAATTCTGGCTGCATTTATCACTGAGGAGTCTCCAGTGCTACTCTTAAAATTCTGCCATTTTCTATGTATTTGAAATAGAAATCAGAAGTATTGGTTTACTAACCTGATCAATCTGTCTCTTTTTGTCTCTGCAGTGATGAATCTAACCTTACGAGCATGAAGTTGTGTATATAGTGCTCCACTTTTTGTATTTATAGTTGAAAATGGAAAATTTGATTTTACAAGTCTGAGAGATGTTTACATGTAGCTGCTTCTACTTGTTTGCAATAGTCCATGTGTACATCTTTTTTCACTTACATCTGCAGTTAGATGATATATAACTGCAGGACAAACCTGCAAAGATTGTCTCTCTAGAGATACCTATACAGCGATCAATAACATAAATCTGATTACTTCTGCAAATTCTTATATTTTGGCTTGTGGACCTGCATGGACAATGAGTGCCATGAACTAGTTTACAAGAAATTGTGACCAAATAAGAGCTAAATGCTATGAAATGTACTGTACCAGCTGCCATTGGAGTTTACTGACTTGGCTTCCATGCCCATCTTAAACGCTTCACTGATTCATGCCACTACATCTGCTTCTACAGACTAAAAGCATGAGTTTGTGTGCCAAGCCTGCTTGTTGTGTGATCACGTCACATGCTAAATGGCTGCTCACGGTGACCTTTGATTCCAGCTTCTGAATTGTTTCCTTTTGTCATCTCAAGGGAGTCACACCATGGCTTATTGCTAAAAAGAGATAAAGCAGAGGAGGATAGAAAGAGGCCTTGAATTTTTGGGGAACAAAGTTCCGGCTGCAGGTGGATGGCCTCCAGTCTTGTGGGTCCCGCCTGTCAATCAGCATCAGTTTGCCTAGCACTGCTCACAGTCATGAAGACATTCGTGATAGGCCCTGTTGAGTGCTTAATCAAGGAGGAGGGAAGGTTGAAGAAGAAACCAGGCTTCTCTGTGGGTTGTTTGGAAAGGCTACAGAGATGCTGCGGGGATCGCCTGAGACCAGAAGCTTCTCAGCCTTACTCAAGGATTGGCACAGTCTGTGCTGTGTTTGTTGTATTTGGGGACTGCTGAAGGAAGAAGCATCCTTGAGACAGGGACAAATCGAAACACCCTCACTGGGAGGATAATAGAACTGACCAGATCCGTGCGTACCATGGTGTGGTTTTCAGGTGATGCAATTTAAATGACATAAAACTAGCTGAACTTCTCTGCAGAATTTTGGAAGCTATGGTTAGTTTTCCTGTAACGGTTGCCATGAAGGACACATTTCAATAATCTATTCAACATTTGTGGTATTGGCGTTGATGGAAATACTTCAAGTCGCACATTCATCTTGTTTCAGTATTAACCATCTTTTTTTCTTTACAATCTTTAAAGCCTTTAAATGTAAGAAAGAAAAGAGTTTATTTTTGTTTCACAGGCTTACTTACTCACCTCGTTCTTTTTCTGCTGTTTTGATGACCTTAGTGGACATTGTCACCCATAAAACATTGGAGAGAAATAAGTCTGTGATGACTGCTGCACATGTCATCATACCGCACTGTTCCAGCTGTGGTTATTTCTCCCCTTCTGTTCAGGTGATGAAGTTTCTAGAGGTACATTGGAAAAATTTTCCTTCTCTGTTTTTTTTATTATTATTATTACTAGAAATACTTAATTCATGCACATTTGTATAGTTTTTGCCTCAAGGTTTTTCTTTTCCAGTTTTGAGTCTTCATATGGTGCACTGTAGTTGGAGAGATTAGTCTGAGAGATGGTGCCATATTTGACAGATGGAAATTCTTTTTTAAATCACTTCAGATTCTAGTAGATAGTAGGGTGTTCACAAACTTTTTAAGTTACTTTTCTGAGCGTTGTCTTTCATATGTAGACCAAAACTAAAATCGAGGAAGGCAGGCTGTCTCCATCCATGTGTGGGCATCTTGCCCTCTTGGAATACACATTTTTTCTTGCTCAGTCATTTCAAAGTTGTGAAGATGGGGACCTGCTGTAGTTGCACTTTTCGTACCGCTTTTCAGTATCAGATCAATATATAGCCACTCTAATGCTGTCTTTCACTCTGCTGAAAAATTATTGCCATCTTGGTGTATCAGAGACAAGAACAGATTTTCTTGGGGGTAGAAATCTTTCACAGATTTTTTTTTTGTTTTAAGAAAGATTATTTTAGTGGCCTCTATCTAATACTACCTTACTAACAACGAAAGTCCAACATTATTTGTGTGTATATATATACATAATATAATATATATATTTACGGCTCAATCCCATCTTTCCAACAGTAAGATATAAACAAATGTTCACATATATGAGGAAAAATACATTTATTTGCTTAAATTCTCAGAAATGCAAGTATGAATCTATTTGAATAATTACATTTACAATAATAAAAGCCTTTACGTGTCATAGATTCATGTTAACAGAGTGCTACAGCACTAATGTGAGCAAGGGACTTCCCACAAAGGGGACAAGAGGAGCATCATGTATAAATCATGAATGATTTAGTCGCCAGATTGCTTCTGCTTGCTTAAGAAGTGCTGTCCCAAAAAAGCAGTGTTGAGGATCAAGCTGCTCTCCTGACAAGAAGCAGCTCCTCATGCCTATGCTCTGACTTGGCATGTTTTGGGCTACCCATATTACAGATGCAAAGACAAGCAGTTGCATGTTTTTATAAAAGATCAAATACTGGCAATCATACATTAAGATCAGATTTATTTATATTTGAAAGGTCCCTCTGAGTATTCAAATGGAAAATAAAGTGGGATGTTTATTATTTGGCTAGACATCATTTGGCAATGCCATATTGAGAGTGTCTACAAACACAACGTACTTATTTTAAGAAATAGCAACAGAACGAGCTATGCATTTGCATGCTGTCATTAGCACTTTGATATTTTTTAAATCTGTATATCTATATTTTTAAACTGTCCTGATGGCATCCATTTCTATATGCATCAATAAAGCCAGCAGAACTTTGGTTCACAGTTTCTTCATTCAGGAAAGCAGTTTTATAGATTCTACTGTTAAATATTAGTCAAAACACATTTCTCCTCAAACTCCTTGACAGTGAGACCCCACTGATGAAACACTTAAGCACCTTTACTCACTTTCTTTTCTGTCTTGCAAAATGATTTATTTCTTTAACTCCTGCCACATAAGAATAAGGAATACCGTTGTGGTTTTTCTGGTTGTTATTTTGTTTTTGGTTTTGTTTTTGTTTTTTTCAGATAGTCTAATTTAACTTTTTAAAGCCTACTGTTCTTTTTCATGGAAAGTTCATTCCACATAAAAGACCATGGATAATTTCACAGGTTAAACTACATAGATTTGATGCTAAGATATGCATAAAATGTTTCATCTTGTAAGATTTACTGGAAAATGAAACCTGACAGTATCTAGAAAAGTTGTGTTCAGTACAAAAAAAAAAAAAAAAGGGAGCTCAGTTTAATATTTCATCAAGAGAAGCACCCTGTGAAGACTTGCAACATGTTTATTTTCTAAAAAGCAATTGCTTTTGGTGCTAGTATATCTTTTTTTCTTTTCAGGGCAAAGCTGCGGCTTGAACCACCTTGTGTGTTATGTCTTTTAGTGGCATTCCTCCAAATAGATAATTATTTGATTTGCTTAGTTTGGGACAGGAGCAGTAGTTCCTCTCCCACTCTTTTCAGTTGTAGAAATGTGTAGCGGTGTTAGTCTACACCATTTCTATACCCCTGACCTTTTCAGGTATGATTAGTTCCCTTTTCTTTGAGAGTTTTCAGTATTTGTTTCAGATGAAGTTTTGTAAGCATCTGTTACTCAAGTGTAGCATAACCACATTGTGCAGAAATCCTGCTACAGAAGCAGTAAGTCTTTTTAAGCACTGTACGAAATATGTCTGACATTGGTCCTTGTCTTCATATTCATCGGTTAGTATGTGGAACCTTTTTCAGGATGTTTTGGACACTTTTTTATTTTTCCTCAGTTAAAGCATGAAATTTTAACTCATGGAACAAATATACAATGTATTTTTGATCTATATTTTTTATTTATTGCTGATTTTGATGTCACCTTCTGGTATTGTATCAAGGCAGAATTACGCTCTTCATCCAGCTGTTTAGATACTCTTTTTGTCTACCGTTTAAGTATTATGAACGAGTTGCAGAATAATCAAATGCACACGTGTCAAGTACTCTCATGGAAATACTTGGATTAGTCACATACAGTGTGGCAAGATAGCTTTGGATCCGTTAAGGGTTAGTTGTAGAAGCATGCATGTGGGCATTTGTTACTCAGTTGTGCCAATGGAAAAGATGATGCAACACCAATGGAAAGAAGCGGTCCTTATGGGAAGGTTGTGTAAGGCTGGGGGCTGTGTCAGGACCCTGGACCCAGCCAGCATTTAGAGTTGCACTGACTGTTGCACAGCTGGAATTTTACACCGGGGCTCAGCCGTGCAAGGTTCTTCACTTGGCTGTGCTTTGCTTTCGCTAGCACCAGACCAAGGAGAGTGACCCATCCTTCCCTTGCAAAGAATGTATTGTGTAGTAACAAGGGGAATATTAGCAACTTCAGGTGATTTTTAAGCACTGCTGGCTGCATAAATCAGGCAAAACACTTTGCTCACTACTGTCAGTAAAAGCTGGGGATCCACTCCCGAATGTGATCAAGATGCTAAAAGACACACAGTAGTTGACTTTCGAGTTTCCTTTTCTCTGCTACTTAACCACCTTAAATTTCATTTGCAAATCTCTGTATTTTACCTGAAGAGAGACCTAAATTTTCACACTGAAGAGTGATACAAATCACTAATATCTGCAACAACAGTGGTCAAAAGAAAGTCGGATTTTTAGTCATAGCAAAATAATATTCCATTACAGTGACCAGAATCATGACAAACACCTGGCTTATTCATTTTTTTCCCTTTCTGCAACTTTTATGAATCTGAATGTTGCTGTAATGTGTAAATGAAGGTTTTCTTGCATCTTCTGTAATTGAAGTATTTTACATGGTGGTTGGAGTCATTAAATGATGTTGGAAACAAGTGCCTGCCACCATCATTTCTGATAGAATTTGAGAGCGATACTCCACAAAACCAGTGGAGTTTGTATTATAAAAAAAAAAAAAAAAAAAAAAAAAAAAAAAGGAGTTGGAGTGTTGTTTTATTTTTGTTCTATTCTTAAGATGCATCCAGTTATCAGTGCTGCTTGGAAATAGAATTTTCTTTGGAAAACAGGGGGCCTTAACTTAACCTGGGACCGTTAGTGTTTTACTTGTTTCTATTTAAAAAGGACATTGTATGAATTTCCCAGATACCATTGGTACTTGCACACTTCTCAGAAGTATTATGAAGAGCTGGGCTGGTGGAAGGATGTTTTACATATTGTTAACATATATGTGGATATTCTTATATTATTGTACATGTTTGGGAAAATATCACACAACTTTAAAAATGTTACAAAGATGTATGTATCTGATTTTTTCCTTTGGAAAATATTATATATTTTTATTTGTATTTTTTACTTTTTTAAGTTCATCTATATGTGCAGTTATTTTTGTATTGCGAATGGTCTCATAAATGCAGTAGAGGAGATAAAATACAAAGAAAAGTAATTTGGCAAGGATTAAACTGCTCTGGGGGGGACACATAGGTCAGTACCACATTATCAATCCTATAAATATTTGGAGTGTCTTAGCCCTGTAAATATGTCACAAGTCCTCTGTTGATGAATTGCGTAAAGAATTGCAAGGTTTTAATCACCCATTTTAATTTGTTATTAATTACCACTTTATTGTGGCCTCTGGTCCTCACTTAATTGAACCTGATCAAACAGCATGCTTTTGTTTTTATTATTAAAATTTCTCCTTGTTGTTTTTCAGTCGTATGCTGTTTTGTTTTCCTTAGTTTTGTATTTTGTTTCTTGCTGGTGAGAAGTTGATCTTCAGAATTATTTTTACACTATTTATGATTTATTTTCATAATGTAAAAAGTGTGTAATTATTAAAATATCAATTCAGTTATTGGTGCCGATTCGCATAGTTATAAAGTTCTTTCTGTTGCCGCAAAAAATACGCTCTGCTTTGTCCACAGTGGAAAAAGTTTGTGCTGCATTGCGCTAATTTGCGGTTTGAAATCTAGTGTGGGTTGTGTAAGTCAGTATTCACATTAGCACACAAATCAGGGCCTTGGCAACATGTTGTGTTTTTCTACAGTGCACAATAAAAAGACCGCTCACCTTGCTCTCCCATTCTTGATGTACATGTGGCACTGAGGGACACAGTTAGCGGGCACGGCAAGGATGGCTCAATGGTTGGACTAGATGACTTTACAGCTTTCTTCCAGTCTTAATAGTTCTATGAATATATGTGTATTCCCTTCAGATCAAGTCTGTTTGGTCTCCTTTTCTTTTTCCATAGGTTACATAAGTCCACAAAAGTTAAATGAGGAAAAGCAAGGGCCTTCTTTTGCGAACCATAGAGCATCTCCTCACTCTGGAAAAGCTGCCGAGGTTAAGTTTAAACTGCTGCTTAAGCATTGTGGGGTCCAAAGAAATAAAGCTGAAAGCTGAAAATCACCAATGGACCCTTTTTGTAATATTTAAGATGAAAAATAAACCTGAACTGCTGAGAAATAGCTACACAAAGGGACTGTGTCACAAGCAACAGTACCCATTAGGGAATATGAAGGTCTGGTCCGTTTTACTATGAATCTGCTTTGCTTAAAAAAGTTGAGGCATAAACATTATTAAAAAATGGTGTATTTTCAAAAGCATCCTGTTCTCGGAGGATATATTTTTGCAGGAGTCTCTGAGCAAGGGACATTTTTGGAAGAACAAAACATTGGGCAGCAGCTGTAACCTCTTCAAAGCATTATTTAAATGTTTGGGTCTTCTAAATCTCCAAATATTTCAGACAAACAAAACACTCCCCATTTTTTTTCCTTCACCTCAAAAATGTATTCATTCTAGACTTTAAGAGAGAATGAGCACCATGTGGTTTTGTCATCTCCTCTTAACTCTTGGTAATCTCTCTAAATGTATGTTAATCTTATCTAGCTCTTAGGGGTACTAAATATAGCTCTGCTCCATTTCCCAGAGGAGGTGCTCAGCACAAAGCTTAACTTACCCGGCATCCTCAGCAAGGCTGAGAGCAGATGTTCTCTGGCGGCTGCACGTAGTCCCTGCTTTTGAGGTGGTCACTCTTGGCTTTTTCTCTGTCTTCTCATGTCGTTTTGACTTTTTGTTGTTGTTTTTCTATGGAAGAGGGAGAGTGGTTCTTGATTCTGTTGCAGCTGTACTGTCAAGAAACAAACAAAAAGCAAATTGGAGCTGGATGTTGGGCCCTCAAACCGCAGCACAGCTCTGGGCCTGCCCAATCCTGACACTGTGTGAATGTGTTGGATGGCTTTTTTTTCAGATATTTACTCTTTAAGAACTTATCCCATAATAGACCTAGTTTCAGCAGTACACATATAGGCTATCATCACTTTGTTAGCACGAGGTCAACCGTTCTGGACATTTCCAGCCTTTGTTTCCTCTCTTAGTTCCATAGCTGCTCTGTTGTTCACCAAGGTCTGTCTGCAGCACATGATTTATTTCCAGTGTGGTAGCAAACCACAGGCTCTGACTGCTGCCGAAGCTACCTCTCAGTAGATTTCCCATTCAGGGATGCTACTGCCTCCCTGTTACTTTTCAACATCAGACTCCCTCTAAAGTCAAAGCTCAGTTAACCCATCTACTATACACTTTTCATCCTACTGCACTGATGGGATGTTGACTCGACTTTTCTCTGGCATCTGTTCCTTCCCATATTCCTCCTTCATAATTCTGTGACATTCTGAAGCACCAGAAGGCTGCACAGAAAATCCCTGCCACTTCTCCCTCTCATTTGTAATGGAAGTTTTACTTAAATTAACATATAAAGGTCATTACTCACATCCAACTCTGCTTTGCAGACCTACTAAACCTGCTGATCCTTACCCATTTATAAAAAGGAGTCCATGGCAATCAGAAGAGGAAAACAGAAGTGTCCTTGTATGTCCCTACCTCACCCAACTTCACCTGGTGATTCAATTCTAATAACCACACAAAAATAAATGTTACTAAAAGGACAACACAAGGACCTGACAAAACCTTCATGTTCCAGCAAGTACTAACAACCACACCCAAATAAATGTGAAAAACAAAACAAGGGAATGCCAAACCATTCGAGTCATATTCCCACAAACGCAGTCTTTCCATTTTCCCAGGGTTATGAACTCATCTGCTTTTCCATTGAGGTCTGCTGGTTCCCAGTCTGAGTGCTCATAAGACATTTTCTCCCTTTTCCATCCGTAGGAGAAAAATGTGCTGCTTTGAAATGTTTGCTGTAAAGTCAGAGCTTAGATGTTTCACATGCACAAGTGCGTGTGTACATTTGTATGTATGTCAGTATACATGGACTGTATTTTTCAGGAAAATACCATACACAAACCTGCAACAGGAGAGCATGTTCTGCCAGTGTAGCTGTACTCAGTGTGCTGCAATTTGCATCTGAAGTCACATCAATTAAGATGCAGGTCTGTAATGTGCATATGCCAAGACATAGTGTTCGGTACTAATAAATACTCTTATCATTTTTGTATGTACGGATTACAGCGTGGCTGAGCATTCCAAGCAATCATGAGCTCTTGCTGGCATCACCTTTTGTCTGGCTGCTCCCTCCTGGAACAACAAGTACCTGGCAATTTTTCATGTGCTTGTAGGAGTTCTCCTGCCTGTGGCACAGTCAGACTTTTGAGACGTAACCGATTCTGCCTGAGGTAACATACATAAAAACAAACATGGCGTAACAATAAAAGCAAACAAAAATATCAACTCTTCTTATTATGATATTCATGAAATTGTGTGAATATATTTGCCCTTTACAAATGCAGAACTGCAAACACTACTGGCACGTTCAGCACTGAAATGATTTCTCTACAAACATCATTCAGAAAGCAGAGTGCATGCAAATGGCTCTGGAAGGTAATGCTGGCTGCTCCTGCAAAGGGGCAGTGGGCACCGTGTGCCTGCCTTTATCTTTCTGAGAAGAAACATGTCATCAGCATGGGTCATTTTCCACTGACCAGCTATAATGGATTTGCCTTTCAGAATGAAACAGCAATGTGCGGTTTTTCAGAGGCTCACCAACTCTGAAGCAGTATTTAGGGAGAGGAAGTCATTTTACTGGACACTTTGACTTGCTTGTGGTAGCATTTCCTTCTTTTCGTCCTCCATACGGGGAGACAGGAAAAAACAAAATTTTCAGAAAGTGAGCAGAACGAGATGGAGAAAGCAGTACATCTACTTACTTAAAAAAATATGTAATAGTAATCTTCTATATTATGGAGAAATATGTGTTACTCCACAGCATCATGGCAACAGGTGGAAGGGGCCAGAAAGGACTAAAAAGCTAAATAGTGTGGTGCTGGGAGTGGGTGGCAGCCCTGTGTATCAGGCAGGGTCTTTCTGCTAACTGTGGGAAAAGCCCTTCTCTGCTCTACAAGTGAGACGTGGCAGCCTGACTCTTGACTTTATCAGAAAAGCGTGCAAAAGCCATCCATCAAGAGGAAAGGGCATTTTTGCTGATGCATGTCCTTCTGTGGCTCTGAAGGAACAGGTGCAGGAACCTGCCTCGTACCAAGCTAGTTCCTATCCCACTCTGAACTCTTCTGATGAACTTGAGTATCGTATCAGTTGCTAACACAGCATCGTTTTGCTAAAGCTGGAACAAAGGCCTGATGTAAGCACGACAGGCCAGTGATGCACGCTTGTAAAAGAGCAGAACGGCATCTTGCATAGCCCTTACATCTTTTTGGGGCGCAGGCTTTCTGAAACAGCGAGACGGGGCAGGACGGTGCAAATAGCTGCTGCTTCCCAGCACCAGCAGTGCCAGCAGCCCTGGCGGAGGGACGCGCTGTCCCAGCACCGACAGAGGGCAGGCGGACACGGGGTGTGGGAAAAGCGGTCGTCCTGAATTTCCTCCCGACGTCGGGATCGCAGTTAGATACAGTGTCTAACGCACACAGCTAGAACTTCTTAAAGTCCGTGCCGCATCTCTGGCTCTGAGGACGAGCGGCTGCTGGCTGTCGAGGATGCGGAGGTGTAGCTGCTGGGGTCTCTGCCACCTGGGCTGCATTTGCTTTGCTAATTGGTGACGTGAGGCTGCTGATGAAACAGGCTGTGAAAACTGGGGAACTTCAAAATTAACACGGGCTGAAGAAAATGCCTGTAGGATATAAATGCTGCTGCTCGACTAGAGAAGCTGGGAGAAAAGTGGCTTACTTGGCAGAGGTATAAAAATATCTAAAAATATGAAGGTATGTGTCTGCACCTCCAAGTACTGGGATGACTAACTCAGTATCGACCCAGAAAAGACAAGCTGCAGCAGCACGCAAAGCTGTGTGTGATTCTAGACATGCTTTGACTGCTCGTGGGGCACAGTGTCTGCACAGTGGGGCAGCAGAGAGGTGGATGTAGGTTTTGTAGTTCAAGGAGCTCCGGATGGTTTGTGGGTACACCATGGCAGAGGGGAGGTAAAGCTAAGCAGCTCTGCCAGCAGCTTGGCTTGCTGTGTGGAAAAGCAATGCCTCTTAGTGTCATTGCCTCTTTCTCCCACGGTCACCAAGGGTATCCATGAAGGAATGCCAGACTGTACCATCCTAGGTCTGAATCAGTGCTGTGGGTAGCAGGGGAGAATGGGACTACTTATAGTTAAGTGCTGCCAGCCCTAAAATAGGATGCACCAGTGCATCAGAATACCAGGACTATAGCCCCATGCTTCGTATGAGTATGCTGTTACAGATTCTGGGAGATGGAGCAGAACTGGGAAGGTGCTTGAATTACGGCCCCAGT